AACATTGGGAAAAATGCTTTATGCCACTAGAATCAGCTCGTCGAGCTCTATCGATTGGGATACCTCTCGTTAGCATCTGTGATTAACACTTGGGATAGTTCCCTCGTAAGAGATATTCACAATAAAAAGGATAAGTCGCAAGCCAGGTTCTATGGCCTCCTATCAATTGAGTATACCACTGTTATATGATCCATGCAGATGCTGCTTAGATTTATTCATACTACTCTTCAGGTGTCCTTCAGGCAGAGATACAAACTGATCGGGTGACGGATCCCGATCCGGTCGAGACTTATCAATCGACCTGTTCGCGCGGGCTTGGTTTGGTATCGGTTAAACCGCTGTACCGGACCCGGTCAGCTTATAATTAAAAAATATGATCGGATAAAACGTAGATTTAGTAGTATTTTGTACTGCTCTAAAAAAGAAAATAATTGCATTCATTATTCTCTCTGCTTAAAATATTTATATTTTCCATCAAAAGAGTTCTTAGAAAATCCGAGTACCAGTCGCTTACCGGTCAACATTTTTAGAAAAGTTGCAGATCAACCGGCCGGTCAGATTCGGTCAACAGTTTATCTGCCCGGTGCTGATGATCAGCCGGTATCGGTCACAGTTTTGTTGACCGGTTGCATCTCTACCTTCAGGAAAAAGTTGTAAAAGTAAAGTGGTCAATTTTTTGTTCTTCACTTTACATAAGACACTTGCGAACGTCAGTTCATTGTAAACCTTATCCAATGTTTGAGATAAGCAAAACAGAAGAATAAAAACTCCAAACTACCAGGTTGATTATGCAGCGGAAGACTTGACTGATTGTTGAATGGGAAAATTTGATTTGAATAAAGTGACACTGTACTCATTGATGAATCTGCATACAAAAAACAAAACATTTTCTGCTTTTTGCTGTTCTTTGTTTTTTCGTACCAGGTCTACTATAAGAATCTTGCACATGCAGTTGTGGCTGCTGTTGCTGCTGCTGATTATGATGCTGATGCAATGAAGTAGTTCCAACAAAATGTGGTGGATGCAGTTGCTGTTTAGCTGTTGAAGTATAATGCTGCTGTTGTGAAGAAGAGAGGTGAACTGGAGGAGCAAACTGAGGCGGCATCTGTTGATTGAACTTTACAAATTAAAAGTTAAATAAATGGATATATTCTCTCTATTTCTTACTTACTTGTTGTTGGTGTACGTTCGAAATCGTGGGTGTTTCGACAAAGTCGTATTCATTTTCGGTAATGTCGTGTGATAATTTTGTCGGGGAAACAAATGCACTCATACCTGGAAGAACAGATGTACCACCCATTTTACCGATACGTTCTAGCATTTTAGTTTTTTCTGTGTTCTTAAGAAAATCGAAGCACAATAGATACAAGAGAAAAGTAGTTCTATATAGTTGGTTCATTACCTCTTCAATGGTGGGAGATAGTGCATCTTCTGTAGATGTTCGTTTTCTTTCTGTGATAGTTGGTAACACAGTACTATCGAGAGTGGAAGATCGAGAATTTTTCTCAGTATTAGAAATGGACGATGACTCATCGAATTGTTGAGAGATACTGGTGATGGTAGAAGGTATTGTAGTGGAATACATCTCTTTTTCACGTTTCACCTAGATAGACATTAGTCGCTCTTACATTGAAATTTCGATGACTACGGTCATACGAGTTGAAAAAAATAATTAACCCACTTTGAAATGATGACGTAAGTAGAAAAGTTATTATAACAACAGATACATTTTACATACCCGAATAACTTCAACATTGTAAACAGTAATCGAATTGATCTGTGATGATGGAGGAATAGCTACACGATGGCCACCTTTTTTCATCCCTTTTAGAATGTCATCCAGTTCCTTTTAAATTAACAACTAGAGCAGTCAAGTATCTAGATATCTACTATGATCCCTAAAGATTAAAAGGTCGATTGAATGAAACGATAATTGGATAATTGGAAGTTAGAATACTTACAAAGCTTTGAGATTCAGACGGTACTTCCATTTTACACAGAACACAGAAAATGCCTGTAGTTTTGTTACGAATAGTTATCTCGATTTAGTGGCTCATTATCTTTACTCTCTACAGCATACACTGCATGGTATGGGGTATGATAGTTAGTCACTAATTATCTTCTTAAAAAATATACACTTATTCTACAAATAAGTTATACATACTACACAATAACGGACTGGGTAGAGAAAATGATGCCACTTTGCAAAAATTTTTCTCAAGTTAAACTTGATCAGAAAACTTCATTTTTATGTCAAAAGATAGAAAATTGTGTCTAGATTTTATTCATATGTTGTTTTAGAAATAAGTATGTCCTGTTCTTTTACAATAGTAAAAACACTGGAAGCCACGAAAATCTCAACTGCTCAATTGCAAAATCAGAAAAATTCGAAATGCAATTTTTTCCCCTTAAGTATTTTGCAAAAATTTGGTTTAAGGGAGGGGGGTGTCCCCCACCCATTTTTTCCCAGCAGTTTGTGGAGGACATTTCAAAGTATATGTCCCAACAAAGCTTTCGGTTCCCGGATTTATAGTTTTTGATAAAAAGATTTTTAAGTTTTTTTCGAGTTTTTTGCCCTATTTTTAAAACTTCGATAAAAACTTCATTTTTTGATATGAAGAGTTGATTCTAGCGTAGTTCGATAGAGAACATTAATTTGTATACGGAGAAACCCTTTTCATCGTTCCCGAATGAAGTTTGCCGCAGAAATTTAGCGTTCG